CCTCTCAAAAAAAAAAAAAAATATATATATATATATACACATATAACTAAGCAGGACCAATTTAAGTACTCCACGATTTTTAGAAGAGAATTGTTGCTTTAAAGTCCTAGAAAGACAGATAAATGACATACTTTATTTAAGCAGAAAGTTCCTTAATAGCAAAACTGACTGAAAGAAAACTTCCTGGCACTTTTTCTAACGGTAGATCCCTAAGCACCTAATATGTGTTTGTGGGAAACTCTTTGAAAAAGACACAATGCGTGTCCTCCTTTGGAAATGGGAAGACAAAGTGTTTATCCCTTCAGAAAAGAATAACATAGGAAATGCAGAGTCATTGTAGCTTCTGATCATCTTTTAAAAAAAAAAAAAAAGAAAAGAAAGAAAAAGGAATCCAATACAGAAATTACAGCCTGATTTTTTTTTTTTTTTTTTTTTTTTTTTGGAATGAACTAACTGAGAGGTAAAGCTGATCTTAGGGTGTTGTGGAGAAAGAGCATCTTATGGCCATGTGTATGCTCGAGATGGAATGGGAACAGGTGGAGTAAAGGAAAACCTTACTCCATAGCTAGAGTTCTACCACTGTTACCTTTTGCTGTACATCCCTCAGTCCTGTCTACCTGAATGGAAGGTAGGACATGGACTGCCGTTCTTCCAAAGGGCAATTGCTGTCATTCACTATGGAATGGCTGAAAGTACTTTCCCGAGTAGGTTTGGTAGGAGACTTTTTCACTGTGATCAGCTTGGCCTGTCTGAGAGAAAACACACTACTTTACAGTTCTGGCCCCTACCAGCTTCAGCGTTTCAGATGCAAGAATTTACAGGTAAGTACCAAGGCCCTTTGGTTCTCAGCCAGACTGACCTGTTGAGCTGTATAGTATCGCTGAAGCAACCTCTGCTAGTGATTGCTGAAAACTGCCTATTTTCAGGAGCCTTGGGCTGTATGAATCAGTTGGTGTTGATTTTATATTGTTGGCTGCATTTGTGATAGGAGAAAAATCTGGTCTACATCTTAAAAGCCAGTAGTTCCCCTGGATCAGGCATCCCAGTTTGTGCTGCCAACACTCGCTGAACTCGGGCCTTCAGAGCTGGAGGTGTTCCTTGCTCAGTACAGCTTTTGCATACCAGATTGGAGCATTGAGTAAGTCACACCTTATCCTAGCCAGTTCAGGCAAAGGCCAATCATTGTGTCTTCTCTGGGAGCCCAGAGAATGAGTGTAATATTGGAAATGATCCAGACAGTTCTGATATTCCTCTTATCTTCTAACATTTTCTTTTTTTTGAGAGGTTTTCACTATAGGGCGCATGCGCTCGCTAGACAGACAGAGACATAGAGACAGAAAGCGAGAAATCGCCCCCAAGGGGGAATGGTCATGCCGCAATCCCTTCTCCTTCATTCTCCTCTCGGGATCTTGGGCACGCACGCACACATGCCCAGCATGAGTTTTAAGCCACCGGGTCCGGACGGGAACCACGGTCAACTACATGGGAGTCCAGCAACATAGCCATTACGCTAACTGCTGGTTCCCTAACATTTTCACTCATAGTGCTATGGGATTTACTCTAGGACTGGAATCAGATTTGTCCAATTTAAGGCAGCTAATTTGGTATCTGGCTAGACTTGTAGGAGTTCTCTTCCTATTATTCTTTGAGATTGTTATTGTTTGGTAATGACAAGCTTATGACATCTGCCAGTGAGTTTTTTTTTTTTTTTTTAAATCAGAGTTTATCATCAGGGAGAACCAGGTAGCAGAACAAGGTGCTATTTGTGGGTATAGACCTAATTTGGAAATGGACACTATAAAAAAAAAATCATACCAGAGTATGGCTTAATAAAAATCCAACTAGCAAGTGATGCTTCTTCTTTTTTTTTTTTTTAAAGGAGTTATTTTATTCAACCTCATTTATTTATTTATTTATTTATTTACTTACTTACTTACTTACTTATTTTTTAATTTGACCAGAGAGGGACAGAGCACGAGAGAGGGAGAGAGGGAAAATGAGAAAGCAAGTCGCCAGATTTGGGACACAAACCACGGTTGGCCATGTGGGAGGCCAGCGCCCACAACCACCCCACCACCTGCTGGCCCCATCTTTTCTTTTTTAGAGAGATTTTTCCTATAGGGTGTATGCACTCACTGGAGAGATAGAGACAGAGACACAGAAAGTGAGAAATCACCTACCCCTGGGGCGGGGGGGAGATAGCCATGCCACAATCCCTTCTCCTCCATTCTCTCGGGATACTGGACACACACGCACATGCACCCAGCATGAGTTTTAAGCCACTAGGTCTGGGACTCGAACTGCGGTTGACTATGTGGGAGTCCAGTGAGGTAACCATTATACCATCTGCTGGTCCCAGCAAATGACTCTTTTAAGCACAATTTGGAGATTGTTCAGGCCTAACACTGAAAAGAGTCCATGAGTTGAAACTAGCGGGGATGGAAGACTACTGTAGAGCTTGCTAGTAGCTATAACTAGTAACCAGAGAGAGGTGGCTGGGACAGGCGAGGTAATGACCATGCATGGCAGAAATGTATATTCCAGGTCACCAAAGGAGATATTGCACCCTGCACCTGTGCACCCTGAGGACTTATCCCTTTCTACCTCACCCCACCCTAAGGGAGCTATTCAAGTGCTAGTGTTGTCTTATTTCATTTATGTGCTCTGTCTCTTTAAACAGGGGTAAATGAGTCTTTGGTCTTAGGATGGAGTTTTATGATTTGTTTCAGTTTAAAGATTTTCACTGTGCCTTTTCATTGAGACGTAGATAGAATTTCGGGAAGGCTACAAGATGAGTCCTTCCTTTACTTCTTTTTTCCTTTTCTTTTTCTTTTCTTTTCTTTTTTCTTTCTTTCTTTCTTTTTTTTTTTAAGTTTGCTAAGCACATCTCGCGCCTGCTGGAGAGAGACAGAGGGAAAGTGAGAAAGCACATCACAGGGCGAAAGACCACATTACGATCTCCTTTTCATTCTCTTCTTAGGATTTGGAACACTCATGCACACATGCCTTTCATGTTTTTCAAGCCACCAGAAGGCAGATTAAACTTGACCAGGCTCTCACAGGGTGGCACAGGTGGAATATGAATTCAGGCGTTTGTTTCCAGACCATACTGCGGTGGTGCCTCCCTTTGCTGTG